GTTATTCATTGCACGGAATTACTCTAAAATACAAGGCAATGCATCAAGCACAACATGCAGATATACAAAGCTTTGCTGGCACTTGCTGCTTTACTATTTATGGCCTCAGACGAACTAATCATAAAATACATAATGTACAACATACGGTATACGAGCTGTGTGAAACATATAGTAGTTTACCGTTGGAGTATCTACATTGTTTGTGTTGTAAACATAGAGTTAATAGTGGCTGTGTGCAAAGCTTTTAGTAACAAAATATAAACATCTAATATTTGTATTAATTTTAAATAACATTTTGAGTTTTATAATTACCATCCGTTTATCTAAAAGTTATTTTTAATTATCTAGTGCAACAAAATGTTAATTTAACGAAATGCATCTAGTAAAATATGAGTTCATTAAGTACGACGATTGAGGTATATAATGTAATATGGAAAGTGATATATAAAACTACAGCTCACTTGGAATAGTACAATAAAAATATGTTTTGACCCCCAAAAAATAAAACAATTTGTAAACTTAAATTTGTAAATTATTGTAAATTTAAAACTCCCATGCTATTCTTATGAATAAGTAAACTGTTATTGTTTGCTCGTTTGTAGATTAATTTTGGTCAAACGTGGAAAATTAGTTTATTTTATACTAAGCTATTGATACTTTACTAAAAATACACTCTATAATACCCTCCCCGTAGCAGGAATCCTAGCTACTTGTTAAACCTGATTTTATTTCCTACATTTAATAAAACATTCAATCAGACAAATAGAAATTTGCCAAGTTTTCCGGTTAGCTGTAGCGGATTTGTTTTACTCATTAAATGAAGTAAAATTTTAACATTTTCTAGTATCACACTATTTAACTAAATGGGATGAATTGTCGCAAACCTTGAAAGTAACCGTCGATTTTCATGGGTTTCGTCTATTTTTGATAAATAAATATAAACTAAATATACTTAATCACAAATGTCTCAAAACCCGTTATGGACAAAATTTTTTATATTTAGCTTTTTCTGTATCTCTAATAAAAAAGTAACTATAGCAAAAAATACAGAAATATTCCGCCATTTTCAAATTTGGCGGCCGTAGCACAGCTTCAATTTTAGGGGACTTGTAGTATGTTCAAAAGGAAGGTACGCCCATTATCTGTACCAAATTCTCCGCTTGTGCAAATTTTTTTAGGTTTATGGAATTTTTCTCTTATTTATACTGTACTAGAAAGCTATATTATGAAAACCATTTAAATAACGAATAAACTTTTTAAGATTTGTTTATAGCTCAAATCATCAAAAACATGCTATCCTTAACCAATATTTGAAGAACCTTGTACATCTACCTCATATATGCCAAATTATATCATTCTTCTAACATTTAAGTTATTACTTGATTTATTACCCAAAATTTACATTTAATTAAGTACTCAAGTTCGTATTTTTTAACTGCCCCCGTTATGACTAATATTCACATTTGACATTCGGGGCTGCGGTGTTGTGTTTTTTTTTTATGGAATATACTACTTGACATGTACCCTTATTAATATAATCTAGCCATATATCTAATGAATAAAAGAAAAAAATCCGTTTCAGAGTTATGGAGGATGTATATTTAGTATGCATGCAGTACATATGCAGTATATAACGACGCATCATCCTGTCGGTGTATAGGCTAACCACATCGTTACTACGAACCACAAGGGTGTGAAATAATACAGACCTCGTCACAAACTGACCACATATGTGTCAAAGAAACGTGGATATATGCTGGACATATCATAGTTATGTGTACAGTATGTGTAGTATATAATGACAGATCAGTCATACATAGCTTTGCTGACACTTGCCGCTCTACTATTGGCCTCAGACGAACTAATCATAAAATACATAATGTACAACATACGGTATACGAGCTGTGTGAAACATATAGTAGTTTACTGCAGGAGTATCTACATTGTTTATGTTTATAGTTATGTGTACAGTATGTGTAGTATATAATGACAGATCAGTCTGTCGGTGTGGTATATGCTTACCACATCATTACTGCGAAACCAATGTGTGAAATAATACAGACCTTGTCATAAACTGGCCACATATGTGTCAAAGAAATATGTATATGTCCTATATCATTGCTATGTGTAGAGTATATGTAGTATATAACGACATATTGGTCTGTCGGTGTGGTATAAGCTTACCACATCGTTACTACGAACCACAAGGGTGTGAAATAATACAGACATAATCGCAATATGACCACATTATGTGTCAAAGAAATGTGGATATGTGCTGTGTATATCATGGCTATGTGTACAGTATATTCTGTATATAACGACATCTGTCCAACGGTGTGTCGTAGGCTTACCACATCGTTACTACGAACCACGAGGGTGTGAAATAATACAGACCTTGTCACAAACTGACCACATATGTGTCAAAGAAACGCGGATATTCATTGGAGCGCACATAATTAAACCTGTGGAAGATTTCCCTTTATAAGGTATCTCCATTTTTTTCTTTGTCAATGAATTTATAACAATCTTATGTGCACTGTTCCGCAATGCATTTTCAATCAATAATACACTCAGTATTAGAAACATTGATATCTCCCAAACGTACGCCGACATGGAATATAAACAAGGCACAATAAAACATAGTAGGTTTATGACCCCTCCTTCACCACTAAACTCCGCACTGGCTTATTGAGTATTTTATGTCTTACTCCGCAGTCTATGTTACGTCTGGTGTATAGAGTTAATAGTATGAAACACCTTAGCGCACAAGCTATACTTGTGTGATGGTTTTTGTTAGTATTGAATTTATGTTGTAGCTTATTATTCATAAATAACTATGTCATACAGTTTTCAATATGTTTGACAAATGTGAGTTTACGTCATGGATAATTTTCAAGCCAAAATTTCGAGTTGTATCGCAAGAATTGTGGTAACCAAATAAATAATTAATATCTGGTACTTGTAGGTCGTATGCATTTCAGACAATTAATAGGCAATATTTTTTTTATTTTACTTCAGCTGTTTAATCGCAAAACCATTGTCATGGTTAAAAACTCGTAACCGATCTCTCCAATAAAACAAGATCAAGATTGCCTTGCTACCACACTCTTTGTCTTGTTTATTTTAATGTAATTCTACACAAAATGGATGATAAATACCTAGTCTTAAACCTAGATATGATGTATTAAAAATACTCCATATACACAAATGTTTAACTCCCTAGAAAAAAATTTAAACCTAATATTCCAGACAAAACTATGTGATAAAATACTTCAACTAGAGTCCCTTTTTTATTGATTATTAAAATGACTACAGAAAAAAATATGTTTGCTAGAATTTATTTCATACTAAGGCAAATCCATATTGTTTGTGATATTTTAACCGTACGCTACAATTATTTAGTAAAATTTGTTTGACTTAATTAAATAATTTTCTCCTCTAATGCACTGTGTGACGCTATGAAGCCAACATCCCGAAATGTTATATATTATAGCCTACTCTAAGTCATAGGAATGAAACATGTATAACTCAAATTAAAAAAAATATGACCCTGGTGATATGGACAGGTTTCATTATTTTATAAAATCAATTAATCAAACAAACGAATACTAATGTCTTCCTAACTACGCCAACTCTTTATCTCAATGAAGCCGCAATGTATTTTACTTATAGTTTACACCCCCCTCCCCCAAACCTGCAACACCTTCGCGACAGACGAGACGGAGATCGAAGCCATGATTTGTCACGTCCGAGATAAGCATCTTCACCCTTGTTTCCTAATGTTGCTTCTTATCAGATCGACAAACTCGTTTCCCCTTGCGTTCTTTGGAAAAGGTTTCTCCCTATGTAGGGATTTGTTGCGGATATTTGTTTTTTTGTTTTTTTTTTTTGCTGTAGAATGGGATTACAGAATCACAGACGTTTTCTTTACCGTAATTTATTCCATTTCTTGTAGCACACACACAGTTTGGATTTGTTCATAATGTATATACTTTATTTGAAGGTTTTGCTACCACATCATATTTTGAAATTTATATAATGAGCTTGTACGATATGTTAGGGAGGGCATTTTCTATTACGGTTAGAACAAAACAATGTTTTCACTACTTTTTTTGAACTTTCGAACAATGGAATCAGATTCCAGATACCAAATCATCGTGAAATTCTTTCTTAGCAATCTTAGAGAAAAATATCCACAATATTAAATAACGTAAACCCAGAAAAAAATACAAAAAAAACATAATTCACAAAGCTGAGCTTCTAATTACATTAAGAAATAATTACCCTATATTAATATCAAAAGAGTATTAATTTAGTTAAACTTACACTCTTATTGTTCAAGTATTTTGAGCTTATGGAGTGTTAGCACTGATACTAAAAGTGAAATTTTTTTCAGTTTCATCAACATATTCCTTGTAAGATTATGAAGACATTATTCTTTATGATGTGATTTTCTGCTTCGAAATTTTTAGGGGATTAAATGGATAACTAACTTAAAACAGTATTAATTTCAGAATAATTTTTTTTCTTTACAAAATTTTTGGGAAAAAAAGATTTATCTTTTATAAATTTACAAATACCTTATATTTGGGTTCAAAGAGTGTGAATAAGGGTTTATCCACCACGAATGCCACTTGCAGTTTGTCCAAAATTTAGTAATTATGTTAAAAAGAGTTTCCTCTCAATTAAACTAATGTCTCATTTATTTAATGAATATTTATAAAGGTTTCCTAACATATCTCACTTTATCTGTTTCTTCTAATATCACTAAAAAGTGTTTCTTCCTACTTATGTTCTTGTAATAACTACAAAATTTATAATTAGTGAATATTTGTAGTTTCACTCAATTTTTATGCTCCTTATTGTTTTTGTTTTATAAATAAAGTCCCTTATAAGTCAAATGATGTGGAATAATTTATAAGTTCAGATTTCTAATTCTGCATTTCTTCTAAAATATTATAATGTTTCTTTACAACACTAACACCCTCGATTTGTTCCAGAAGTATGAACATGAACAATGACCAGCCTGACCCTGACTTCATCAAGATGTTCGTGGGGCAGATCCCGCACACCATGGACGAAAACGACCTCACGAAGATGTTCTCAGAGTTCGGCAGAGTTCACCAGATCAACGTCCTACGAGACAAGATCACCGGCAGAAGTAAAGGTGAGATTAAAAAATAAACATTTTAAATACCACAAATATCACTTGTACTAAAGTTAAAAACATAATGCAAGCTGAGAGAGCTGGTTCGAAAGCCTTAAAAGACAATCAATTTACTAAAAAAATAATGTTTATATCCTTATTTTGGCAGTGTCTTAACTATAATGATTATTTTACTCATAGAAGACAAAATAAGACATATTCAAAGAACTTCACACAAAATGGCCACTTGTTCACAAATACTGTTACTGTCCGCGAGAGTAAAGAAGTCCCTTGAGCAAGAGCGATACGCATTTATGTTTGGAGGGTATCGCGCACTATTTGCAGGCGCTAAGCATCAGGGCGCCTCGCCTCGATGTCTGTCTGTAAACAACTGTTGTAAACATAATTACTCATATCTTTGTTTTGGTAAGTGGATTATCATCATGTGGTCACGTAATTTGATTCAGTGCAGTCTCGTGTGTTCTGTTTTGTTTTGGATGGTCCTTGTAGCTATGGATTTAAGAAAACGTGGTGCTACTATACAAAACTCTGTACACCCGGGAAAAAACGCAAAAAGGCTGACAACCATAAAGTACAAATAGATAGCTTTGATAGGCGTGTAATCGTAGATGTAATACGCGATTTTTACACGAAAAAACAAATTGTCTCTACATGTAAAAAACTATTACCTGTTTTGAGAGGAATAGGTTACAATCGAGGGTTTCCTTCGATTGAATGACTATGCAAAAAATATTATGATATACATTGATAAAAATCATACAGATATTACATACAAAAATTAAGCCTAACAACTAGCAAAGCAGAGTGAAGACGGCTCTATTTGTCGGGCAAAACGTTCAAGCCTAACGCCTTCAAACTACGAATAGACCAGAGCTCAGGGATCTTCTTTACTCTCGCTTAACTTTTGAAGGCAGTCGTGGTTGGTTCTGTTCGAAGGCCCGGGCTGCTAAACATTAACTTTAAAAATGTATTTGTTTGTGTTGATGTGCTATATAGGGTATATGTGTCTTTAAGGAAAAATATATGTAAAAGGATAATGCGTCCAAAATTAAGAAATAGTTTAAATTTAATTGTTGATTTCTTTTTTGCATTCTACGTAATTAGATTGTGTATCAAGTAGGTAAATTTATACTCACAGACTTTTGCCTTTAACAATATTTTGTTTAATTCATTCTAGATTAACCACTTTTGATTTGGACTACTAAATGTTTCTGTATAAAATATAGTTTGGAAGAATTTTCTCCGTGTATCAATAGATTGAATTATTCGCTATGAATATATGATTATTTCAATACCCTTGACCTAAACCTTTTGTTTAATCACATGGTCAAACTATGTTTTTTTTTTAAGGGAAGCCTGTAAAAAAATCCAATATGTATAGTCCCTTCTCTATTGACCATTTCTAGGATGATTGTATTTATTATTGAGAATTCAATTAATTCAACATACATATTTGAGGTATGTTGCTTGTCTCAAATTCAAGAAGAGATCTCCACTTAGGCATAATTACCTACAGACTAACCATCTTGTCAAGGATTTACGTCATGAATGGGCAAAGACGCGGGTGTCAGCGCGGGGCCGCCCATCCATCATTTCTTGCCTCGTCCCCAGTTTGTGAGGGTGGGGCTGTTTGTTTTGAGGGAGGAAATGTCTTATCATCTTCGGCCAACGCCTCTATATTCATTGCACATCCGTCATACTCCGTCATTGTTTCGGACGAGTTGAAACATGTCAACTGCAGATGGCTAATGGCATTGCGTGTGGGGTTGACAAACGTATGAGAACCACAATTAGTTACATTTTTTTACGAAAGTAAATAATATAAACGTCTTATGACACTAAAAATGTATGCACACTTATACTGTTACTCACAAGACGGTAAATATAAAAAAAATAAGTGGTGATCCATTTCGATTGGACACTCCACTGACCCAATAGGCGAATTACAAGAATCTTGAATGGCGTTACTACTTATACCCTATTGGCTACCGGAAGCACCGGCCAATACCTTTTTACAAGTACTACTGGAGTCGAAATTACTTGTTCATTAATCAGCTTATTTCTATTTTTAAATTTTTTCTTATAAATATACGATTGTTCCTTAGCATTCATTACAAATTCTTTCTTACAATTCTTTAAAATACATAGACTATCCTCCAATTCTTTTATTCAGTTTTTCCGTTTCTTTTATTAACTTTCCGTAAATTTAATAACACGTACAATGCAGATCAAGAAGTTATTTAAATTCTTTTTGTTTTTAAACTGTGTTATATTTTTGTTATATTTTTGATCAAATGATTTCAGTTGTCAATCGTACACAGTTTAAATTCATGAGTATTCTTTTTAAGATTAGTCTAATTAAAAAAAATTCTTAAGATCATCTATCTCGTGTTTAAGAACGAAAACAACTCCTATCAATGTTAACCCTGTTTATGGTAGTTTTTGAGCTGAGCCGCCCAAACTAAGAAAATCTGAAAATATTCATTATGTGACTTATGATTAGAGTTTCTGTCTCACAGTTTTTTGACTAAGCCAGGACGTTCCCTTACTTCAGAGTTATTGATTTGCAGACATTTCGTATGATTGTTACTTTAGAGTTAGTAAGGTGACAAGTATTTTACAACTTTTGGAAACTATCCAAATACACAAAGTAACATTAAAGGATATATTGTAATGAGCTTATGTGCTTAAAACGAGATATAATTATTTACAACTATTAGATTAGGGTGACTAAATGAATTAACAAACTCAATTTGATTGAATTGCATTCAAATACTTATATTTTAAATACATTTTACATGTTATACTTTTACTAAAGTTGTTGTTGTTCTAAACATACAACAATGGCTTGTGCATGATATCAGTCGTGTCGGCAACAGACAGTATTAAGCTGATATCTCTCACAGTCTATTATTGAGTTAACATCTGTTATCGACAAACATTCATGGCAACGTTATTCTAAAGCTGTGTTGTTTAATATACGTTGTTGCACAATATACGATAGGCAAAAGATAGTTTTGTTTTTAGAAGTTTTTTCGTTGTATCATAAACTTTGTTCAAATGTTAGGTAATAAATGATTACCTATAAATAAGGTGTTAGGTTATAAATGATTTATTATTGATGGATAGTCTAGTGAACAGCCTGTATGGGCGCAGGCTCAAATTTTAGTACTCGCCATATCTGACTGTCTATGAGAAAAAGATGATTAATTTGTTAAAGAAAATTACTGCTTTTGGGAACTCCTCCCAAAATTACCCATTCGATAACTAAAAATTATATTCATTTAAACGTTTTCTTGTATTATTGTATTGACAATACTTATAAATAATCACGACTACACACATAATTTAGGATATTTAAAGATGCAATAAGCTTTAACCATTAGGAAATAATTTCGCCGAGTTTAATTTGCCACAAGCCATGTCAATTGCAGACATGTAATCAAGCGATCATCACGGTCAGGCTGGCCAACGAGAGTAATTAATTTCTCATCACGTGAGCATTTTGAACCCGCGATGGTCAAAACACGTAATACCTAGCTTCGAAATATTTTCAAAATTCATACATCAAAATTTAGACAGCTAAAATATTTCCATTTCTAAAGACAAATTAGGGATGGTGAAAATCATTCAACAGCCAATTGACCTAGAAAGCCCATTACATTTTGTTTAATGTACACCGGTAGGGTAGTTTTACCTGATAGTTTATTCCGTAATTGTTTATATACTCAATTTACTCATGGGTTTATAGTTTTGTTATAAGCATCCGTTTCATAGCTAAAGTTCGATTCACCAGTACCCAAGAATATAGCGTGACACTTAATTTCAAGTTGCAGAAGTTGGTAAAATATTTAAAAGATCGTGAGCTTTCAAATAAGGTTCAATTACAGTTGTTTATACATACAAATGTATCATATACATACAGTATTAATGTTTCCACTGCCCTTCTATAGAGTAATGTGAACATCTGTTCAACGAACTAATTTCAAAATGTGTTCAATCGGTGTCTTGCCACCTTAAATAGACGTATAATAAGGGCGAAAACAGAATCAATTTTAACTCAAGATAATGGCGATGGTCCTGCTGCGGTAGTCAGAACCGTCTTCTCCCTTTTTGGAAGAGTCTTCCATATAATCTTCCAAGAATTAGAGCTCTTGATTTGCCAAAACTTAGTTAAACAATAATGAAATAAGAATCAGATGTTTAACCAACTGAAGAACAAGCTGATGTTTACAGTAAATAAAATCTAATCTAAAAAAATAACAGTTATTTGAACAACAATACTGGGATATTCATTTTCCGTTATAAGGCAAAAAAGGAATCATTTATGCCTTATGTAAATGAATCTTGTAAACAGCATATTTAAATCATAGTGTGTTACAAATAATTGTTTCTATGTGCGTAAAAATAAACACTTTAATATGATTTTGAAAATATTTTATAACGTAGCATAACGTATAGATTATTAAACATTTTACTAGTCTGTATTAAATAATAGAATATACCTAAGAACCTTTAAAAACATTTCTTCAGTAAACTGCTAAAAAGTAAATTGTTTTACCAAAGAAAGAGAAGTAGTTAGAAAAGGCTAATAAGTTTCGCGAAATTGGTTTTCGGTTCAGCCGAAGTAATCAGGTGTTTACTTCTCGCCATTTACTTGATTAAAGACCAGCTGTAAACAAGAAAGACTCTAGATAGCCATCTTTCCTTAGCTGCTTCGCCGTCTTTGGGTTGAAAAATAAATACCATTATTTAGTTATTTTCATTTAACGAATGTAGAAAATATTAAATCAGGTTATACTTGTTTAAAAAAATACTAGTAAATGAATAAATTTAAAAATAGTGGGAAGATGTAAGAACAAAAAGGGTTTACTCTGTCAATAAAAGATGCGTCAAAGGTAATTTGTGCTATAATTATTATACAAATAATACACTGGTAGGCATACTAATGGAAACAGAACTAAGACTTAAAAACAGAAGGGTAAACGACACTTATCATA